CTTTGGGGGCTGGGGTAACTGGGGCTCCTTTTGGGGAGGAAGGCGTTGCAGTTGAGGGAGTGGGGGCTGCTTTGGGAGATGTTGCTGAGGCTCCTTTGGGGGAAGGAAGAGCCACGGTTGGAGGAGTGGGGGCTCCTTTGAGGGACAGAGTTGCTGGGGGCTCTTTTGGGGTGGGAGTCACAGCTGGGAGTTTGGGGGCCTCTTTAGGGGATGGGATCAGTGGGCCCCCTTTTGAGGAGGAAGGAACCACAGCTGAGGGAGTAGAGGTCCCTTTGGGAGGTGGGGTAGATGGGGACTCTTTAGGGGATGGGGTTGCTGGTCCCCCTTTGGGGGAGAGAGGGGCCACCACTGGGGGAGTAGGGACCTCTTTAGGGGATGGAGTGGGGGAATGCTTCTTGACTAGTGAGCCTTTAGGGGCTTGAAAAGAAAGACTGGCCTCTGGAAGAACTGAAGCTTCAATTAGAGAAATAGGGGACGAGAGATTTCCAGCAGGAGTATCAGGGATAGCAGGTACACTTTTAGAAACAGAAGGAGCAAGAGTTAAGGTAGAAGTAGCTGAACTCTTCTTGGTTGGCGGTCTTTTAGTCTGAGGAGACACACCAATCCCTACAGGAGATGGGGAGTCAGCTGGGTAAGTTCCTTTGGAAGATGCAGTAACAGAAGCACCAGTGTCCTCAGGTTGGTGCCCTTCAGGAGAGGAAGCCGCAGGTGCCAATTCTGAGGTACGAGAAATAGCATCAACGTTCTTTACACCCTGGGGAGTATCACCAGCTGGGGTAAGAGAGGGAAAGAGCTCAGACTTGGAAATATCAGAAGCTAGTGTCAAGGTAGCTGGAGAAACAGAAACATTCTGTGGTGATAAGGTCACAGCTGGAGCTCCAGGGCAACTTTCAGGAGTGGGAGGAACCAAAGGGAAAGTAGTAAGAGTGGAAGTACCCTTCTTGGCTGGGTGGATTTTAGGAGGTAAAGTGTCAGCTCCTTCTAGAAAAGGGCGGGTTGTAGTTGTAAGAGTGGAGGCCCCTTTGGCAACTGCAGGAGCCATCCCAGAAGTAGCAGCACTTTCCAAAGGAAATGTAGCTATAGTTGGGGTGAGAGAACTTTTGAGAAGCAGGCCATTGGGGTCTGGGCTTGCATAAGGATCTGTCTTGGTTATAGAGGTTGGGGAAATAACACCCAGAGGAGAGGTAGTGCTGGCTGGCTTAACTATGGGCAGAGGCTCTACAAGGCTTTTCTTTGCTAAGGTGGCTTCAGGACAAAGAGATACCTCCAGAGAAGATGATGTACTCTGGGGACAGGGGGCATGATTTTTAGGGGCTGCCAGGGACAATGGTAGTAGACTGGAGTCTTCCTTGGTAGGGAGTCCTGCCTGGGCTGGTGAAATAGGAGCTCCTAAAAGAGAGACAGGTACCGTCTGGAGATCTTTTTGTGTTGGCAACTTTACCAACACTGAAGCAGGGACACTTTTGCGGTCCTCAGGGACTGGCAGAGGAGAGAGCGGTATCCCCAGAGTGGTTGTTATTTGAGGAGCAGGAAGCTCTTTGGGAGCCACAGGGGCCATAGGCACAGCAGTACGGGAAGCTGAGTCTTTATTACTTATGGGACCTGAGGAAATTGGAGGAGAGACACAAGTAGCTACCTCAAAGGTAGAAGGCGCTACAGAAAATGGAGAGGGGTTAGTCATCATAAGTGAGGTGGTTCCAATAGAAGAAACAGGAGCTTCTTTTAATCCTGGACTCCCTGGAGAAACAGCAGGAATCTGGGTCACCAAAGGCTGTTTTTGAGTGGCATTAGGCGAGCCTTTGAGAATGAGAGCGGTTGTAGGAGATAAGGGAGAGGAGATAGTTGCATTTGAGGAGGCAGAAGGGCTGTAGGAGGCTATGCTACTGATGGCAGAAGGGCCTTTGTCAACAGACAGAGCCAGAGGGGAAGTTGGAGCCCCCACTGGAAAAGCAGCCACAGCAGCAGGAACTGCCTCATTTCTGGAAGGAAGGGGAGGAATTCCAGATTGCTGAGAAGGGTAGGAGGCCCCTATGGAAGAATGATCTACAGAAATGGTATCCACTACAGGATCTGACAGGACATTAGAGCCTGTCTGATCTATAGGTTGGACAGGAGAACCAAGACAACTCTGATGTAAAGGTGAAAGATGAGAGCCCAGAGAAGTGAGGAAAACTGGGGGGACATTGGGAGCCACAGTAACAGACTGGGTTGAAAGAGGTAAGGCAGCAGGTGGACTAAGGGGTCCCTTTAGGCTGAGGCTTACAGGGTTTTGTGCAGAAGTCAGAGCTGAGGAAATTGGGATGCCTTTGACCTGAGGGGAAGTGATGGCCAGGGGGGTGGCAGGTGGGGTCTGAGCACAGGAAACTACTCCAGATTGAACACAGGCCCCGGGACTTACAAGATGGGAAGGACCAGCACTGACTGTACCTGGAGGGATGGGGATACCTTTTGGATTAGGGACTACCTGAGGGGGAGCTTGAATAGGAGAGGTCTTTGGTTCTGAGGAAGCAATGGGGGCTGATAGAGATGTCACCAACCCTGACTCAGCCACAGCAACTGAAGGTGAACTAAGAGGGTTAGGTGGATAAACAGAGCTCTTCTGAACTGAGTGGGGAGCCAAGGCCATGAGAGCTAAGGGAGCTGACGAGGAATGGGCACCTTTCAGAGTTGGAGTTATCATGGGAGAGGCCAGAGCTAAGGCAGCTGGGGAGATGGGAGGCCCTATTAGGTTTGGTAGGAAAGCTGGGGTGTCAGGGGCAGAAGGGGCAGCTCCCAAAGGCAGGGCTGTCTCAGAGAATGACTGGGGAAAAGGAGGTTCAAAAGGGGTTGAGGCAATAGCAGAGGGAGAAAGGAATGGGGAAGGCTGGTTAGGGGTTGCCAGAGGGCACTGCTGGGGAGCCAGGGAGCAAGGAGGGGGAAGGGTAGGTTCAGGCTGCCCTAAGGCAGCAGTGACACTCAAGGCTGAAGACACAGGAAGCACAGCTGGAGGAGAAAAGCAAAAAAGGGGATAAACAAAGAAAGGGAAGGAAAAAAATAAAGGTGAGTTAAGCAGCCCAACTTGGTACAACATGCTTCACAAGAAACACTGGAGTTTTTAATCTGAGGATGAAAGTCACCACACAGGATTAGACAAAGGTGACAGGCAACAGCAACCTTCCTGAAACATACTAGTTAAGAATACATCCATAGTCAAGTTAAGAATACATCTGTCCCATTCCTTCGTCAAATGAACCCTAAGTTTTTCTCACAGGCCACAGAATCACCACTAGAAGAAGAGCTGTTCCACCCTGTCCACTGAAGGATCACAAACTAAAACAGGTACTGAAAACTGGAACAAGGAAGGTAGTGAGTGGTGATAGTGATGGGGAATTAGAGCTGAATGAGAAAAAACAGGTCTTTATATGCTCAGGCTTCCACTAGGTCAGGAAAATATCTGACTCAGAATAAAGTTTTAGGAAGGGGGTCTGGCACAAGTCAAGTCTTCCTAAAGTGGACGCTCTTCAGAATTTAATACTAAAGACTAAAGTATTAAATTAGGCCACTTAGCTTCCCTGTGCCTCGGTTTACTTATTCCAAACAAAAATCCAATCACAAATGGGCTGCATTCCAGTCTCTACAGACCTGCCCAGGTAATGTTAGCTTTTCAGACATCAATCTAAGATGAATTAAAATTGCCAGGGAGAGCTTAGCCACAAGGGTAGGGAGTGTATTATGAAACTGTAACCTAACTTGTTAAACCATTGGTCTATTTTGGAAGTAGGGAATTGGAGTGGAGTGAATACATTGGATTCCCATTCCTTAATCTGGACAAGCATGTCATTCTGCCAAAATAGACCAATATTTGGCACCAGAGTAAAGCTAAGCAAGATTTTCTGAATGACAGAAAAATCCATGCTCACTATTCAGGAGATAATAGGATTAGAGCAACAAATGCTCAACACCTAAAAGGGAGTATTTAAAAAAAAAAAAGCCCACAGCATCCAAATTCAATTTAATCAACCACAATTCTGAAGTTCTTAAGAGTATCCTACTACAGAAAATACAGGCGGCTCAACCAGTTTTACCTGGAGAGCTGGTAGGTCTTATAATTACAGTACAAGTGCAAACTTAGAATGTTTTCCTCTGACTGGACCTCAAGATGGGATAAGGCCCAGATTACTTGGTTTAGACACCATAACCAATTCCCGAGTTAGTCTTCTCATACATTCTAATAATTTAATTATACTTATAGAAAAAAAATCTGAGTGTTTATCACTGGCACTCCCATATTAGTATTAAACCTATGGTGCAAGCTCAAATTATTCAGGAATAAGTTTAATAGCACTGTCAAAGGATTGCTTCATAAGCAAATGGAATTAGTTTTGAGGCTTGAAACAAGATTAGTCCAAATTCATCTGAATTTTAGTCTCCATATTTGTAAAACAAAGTTGTTCCATGAAACTGTATGATTTTGTCTAACACTGAAATTACAAGTTTTTTTTGAGACAAGTCCTTTGTTTTTTCCCTTTCTTAAGTCCTCTGTAGTTCAAGGATTTCATATAGCTCATTCTCCAGCTCAGAGGCCCCCTCCTTTTTCTTTTCTAGCAGCTGTATTAATCCCTTCAGCTGCTAAAATCAGACAGGCAGGGAGGGAGAACTATAATACTTTCAACTATAAACAACTCTATTTTAATTTCAGGAGACAAAAATTGCCCTTAAGTGACAGGTGCAATAAAAAAAAAAATTTACTGTAAGAAAAAAGTGAGGATGGAGGCGACACCCTTAAGATTCCCCTCAGTTCTGCACAACTGACTCAGCAAGATCATCATTAAATCTTTTCATTAACCCCCTTTCAAACTGTATAGAGATGTATTTCAACCGGAATTCAAAACTTGCCTTTACACTATGCTCTACATACATAATTTCAAAGCTATAAAGCAGTCAAAGGAAGGCTTTATTTCAATCATGGGTTCCAGACAAGCTGTTGATGCAGGCACTATTCTAGCACACTAGAAACATCTCAGCACCAATCTATAAAACAAGTTAACTAATCTTCGAGGGCCCTCGGGCCCACTAGGACACATTTACCACCCGCGCACATCTCATCCAGACATGTGATGATGGCACAATGCCAAGCTCTGCCATCTAAAACCTTGATGCAACTTGCTGGCTGGAACTTCACAAAAGCTCAGGTCTCCTTGGCCTGCCAGTGTCATCTAGTTCTAATTGGTAAGAATCACTGAGCCCCTACCCAGCTCAGTTTTCCTATGAGGTGAGGGTTCCACAGCAGAGTTCCCTTTGAAGCAGTTGCCATACCTACAAAGTGGGCCAGGGAGCTTTTAATGTTCCCGAATCTTAAATATACTGTTTTTTTCCCACTCCCTAATGAAGTCTGTCCTTCCTGGACAGCAGTTAATATTATGGACTCTCCTCCCTGGTAGAGCTACAGCCTATCCTTTAATAAGAGTTACGGTAACTCCGAAAGAAGTGTATTCATTCTCTTTGTCACTTTACCCACCAAATGGTCTCAGGGTCAATCTTAAAATCTTAATTAACGGCACGGGGGCTAGGAGAACCTACCTGTCTCAGCCTGCGGCTGTGGCAACTCCTGCTCTGTAGCAGGGACCGTTTCTGTGGCTTCACCGGGCATTTCTGGAAGGGAATAAAAAGGAGGTCTGAATTGACTGGGATCCGTTCTGCTGCCCAACCCACAGCCAAATATTCTTAAAAACTCTGCGGAAGACTTTGAAGAAAAAATCATGAGGGTGTTTGGGGACAACCCGCCCCAGGGCAGCTGGGAATAGGTTGAGAAATATGACGTGACCCTCAGATATCCGATCAAAGTGGACTTCCCAGTGCCCAGGGGTTCATTTTATTCCACACTCCAAATCTCACAAGGGCAGCAATCAGCATTGCGCTCTCAACCCGAGAGAGGATCCGGCTTGGTCCTGACCATGGGAGGCTTAAACACTACCTTGAGCGACCTCCTCTCCTACGTTCACGCTGCCTGGGCCGGGTCCTCCAGGACTCCCGTTTGCCGGCTTTCGGGAATCAGAAGGGGAAAGAGGGTGCGCTATGTCCCAACACTCGCTTGTCACAACAACAACGATGGGGTGTGTGTGGGGGGGTGGGGGGCAGCTTCCAAGGCTGTGACCCTATAACCTATGGATTCTCACGAAGCCGTTCCCAACAGCAGATGCACTTCGCTTTCGTCCCCAACACCGCAACGGCCCCATCATCCCAGCCCTGAACACCGGGTCCGAATCGAGGCCCTTCTGCCTTGCTTTTGCCAGGACACCAATCGCAGACCCCATTTTGTCCGGAGGCCCCAAAGCCACACTTCCCAATGTCGACTAGGAACCCGGTGGCCCCATAAAGCCAACAACTCTCCTTAGCTCTCAGTCTCCTGGGCGGCTTAGCCTGCAAGAAGGGCGGATGACTGCGGATAGACTAGCGGCAAAGACAGAACTTACTGTGCGGGAAACACGGAACCAAGATGGCGGCAGAAAGAGAGACAGCGACCGAGAGCGTGACCCACGCCTGTTGCAGAAGGAAGCCAGGTGAGGAGGGGCGGGACTAGAATCTGCTTCCGGGTCAGAGCTGCCGCCAGTTATTTCCTTTAACCGGTGACCCCTCCGTCCGGCTGTTCACAGACGAGGGTGGTGACGAGGTCTAAATAAGGGTAAGAATTCAGAAGAGGACGCGCTGGCCTGGCAAGAACTCTCAGCTCGGAGCCACGCGGTCCTTAGATAGCCCACCCCTTCCCGTACCCCACATCGAAGTATTTTTGATACCTGAAGGGTAACTGCAATGAGAGAAGCAACCAACCAGTGCCTTCTGGTCAGCAAAATAGTCCCAGCGGTATTACTGCGACTTCTAGTTTTTCCTTCTCAAACAAAGCAGGAAAATAGGCTTTAAATATCGAATGCCACAGAGATTGTATTCACACCAGTGGAAGGTAGCAGTGACTTAGGTTAACCCTCAAATATTTTATTTTTGGAATACATAATTTAGACCTGTTGAAGTTATAGAGGTACAGATTACTCTTTCCAGAAGAAAACATAAGCACACATACATTTTTTTTTTTTTGCTTGCTATTTTGGGCATTTAGGTATCTTGAAACATCCATTCTAGGCGTCCAGTATCCCACGTTAAGAGCCCATACAGTAGTATTCTTGAGAAGTGGAATATAAAATCTGTCTTATTAATGGAAAGGCTATATAGGTCCTGACTTCCGTATCCTCTGGCCCTACCAAAGAGCTCAACAAATATATTACCTAAACTAGCTAACATCACTTGAGCTTTAAGACAATTGTGGCTGCCTTTTTTTTTTAAAGATTTTTTTTATTGGGGAGTTGGGAAGGGGAACAGCCAAGTTGTTATCCTTCAATCTTAGTTGTGGAGGACGCAGCTAGCTCAGCTCAAGGTGCTGTACAGGTTCTATCTTAGTTGCGTGGGCATAGACCACCATCCCACGTGGGAGTTGATCGGAAACCTTGTTGTTAGGAGCATGTGCTCTCACCAGCTGAGCCATCCTGCCACCTGTTCGCAGCTCAGCAGCAGCTCAGCTCAGGCACAGCTCACTGACCCATGTGGGAATCGAACTGGAGACTGTTATTCAGAGCTCGCGCTCTTAACCAACTGAGCCACTGGGCTGGCCCTGTGGCTGCCTTTTAAGAAAATCAGTGAACACTTAAAATGCTCTGAAAGCTACTTTAAAATATCTAAGATCTTGACCACAATGAAGTGAGGATTAGGATTATAGTTTACCAGAATGAGAAATTCTGAAATTCTCTTCCGACAGGAGAGGCAATATTGTGGAGTGATTAAGAACATGGCTCTGAAGCCAGACTCCTTTGTCTGAATCTCAGGTTGGTCAACTACTTGTGATCTCAGGCAAGTTAATTAACCAATTTGTGCCTCAAGTTTCCTCACTTATAAAATGGTGATAATGGTAGCTACTTAATAGGATTGTTAGATTAAATTAGGTAAAATATGTACATCACTTAAAAATTGTTTATTGTTACTATTAAAATTGTAGATAGAATATCTTTCTAAGTAAATAAGCGATCTGGAATGTCAGTGAAGTATACTTAGTTTCAGAAGGGCCAGCAATTGCCAGCTGTCTCCTTAGACAAATAAAACTACGTACATTTTGACCATTCCTTCTTTCCCAGCAAGCCCACTGACTTTTCTCTCTGTTGTTAATGACTACCTAAGGAAGGATATATTTTCTTTTTGGGTTTCTTTATAAATTGGGCATGTTTGGAGATGGAATCCAGTTCTGTGCCATTTCTACAGTTATAATAAATGGAGGAGTTGGCAAATCAGAGAATAGGGAAGTCAATAGTCTTTGAGCGTGTTTCTGCTATCTTTGGGAAACAAACATTTACTCTTACACAAGCACAGTATGTTTTATAATTAATTTTATGGGCTAGTATACAAGTTTTTTTCTTGACCAATCTAAAGTTATCTCCTACCATAAGCAGAGGGATGGAAGATTAGTATACCAGCTTTTATTCAAGGGTTTTAATATTAAAGTATTATAATACTTTAATGCTAGACATATTGGAAGCTTAACACATCTAGTTGAAAGTATGTTACCAGTCTTTTCACTCTCATTCTGAGTTCTTAACATGGACTAATGAGTCTTTTAGTAAGTTTGTATTCAGGAATTTCAATTGACGTAGTTTTCAAACCTGACGATAGAATAATACATAGTAACAGAAGCTCTCAAATAACGAGGAATTTTGCAGTCTTTAATATTTTTTCTTAAAAAATTAGAAAAGAGAAAGAAATGAAGGCATTTCAGTGTTGACTGAATTACAGAATGTTTTATATAAATCAAAAGATAAAAGAAAAAAACTATGGAGAAAAGTGTTAAAAAGAAATGCATAGGAAAATTTTCATAAATCATGGAAAGTACCTGCCTGATAGCTTGCTTCTCAGAAGATAGAATGCAAACCAGAATGATTGTTTTTAGATCAGTTGTAAAACCAGGCAAACGAAATCTGACATGTCAGAATCTATAATACAAAATAAAGTATGGAAGAAATGGAAACTTTAAGTATCTGGATATATAGAAAGTTCAAACATTTTGACAAAACAAGTACAACAGGGTTTGTGTTGGTGAAGTTGATTATTTTTTCTAAGCTGCTTCTTTATGGTGTAGACTAATGGAATTGTTCCAGTTCTCTGAGGGAAGAAGTTAGGAGCTACAATTGCAACAGTTGTAAACCATACTTTACTAATAAGTCATATCTTTTGAAATTTTGGTAGATTTAGATGAGTTTTAAAAGATGGACAGTGGTGAGTGGCCTGACCTATAAAAATATCAGTAAGCAAAATTAGGAAGTGACTGAACACACACTCCAGGTATAATTAACTTAAGTGTCTAAGACTTAAGGACAAAGTCCTTATTTACCTAGAGTATTTACTCCAGAAATATGGAGGCTGTATTCAGTGAGCTGATATTAAAGTCTTGGGACATATTACTGCTCAGTTACCTCTATACATGGCAACTGGTAGAAGCATGTATATCAGAAATCTTAGAATTATCTTTGTATAATTAAGTTTTACAAATTTATCTGCAATGTACTTATTCCTCTCTCTATTGCTCCTTCCAGGAATGTAAACAGTCTCCTTTGGTGGTCTCAGGAATCTTTTCAATATAATTATTTCTCAAGAAAAGGAAATTTTGCTTTGAGCATTAAAATGCATACATAGTTCTGCCATATTTATTAAATGACTCTTGAAGTATTTGATTCTTGGTTGAAGGTAGAAGTTATCCACATTGGTTGGAGGGGAATTATCTTCAGAAGTCTTTTTGTAAATCTAAAATAGAATAGATCTGTATCAAAGGATAGTAAAGGAAAACAAAATAAAGTGCATTTATTTTCACATTCTGATTTGCTTAATGTTTCCATTCAATTCACATTATGCATCAAGATTTGCTTTCACATTTGCTGAAGCCCACATTATAGGCTGAGCTAGTACAGAACAAGAATACAAAGGACTTAATATGGCCAGTTGGAATGGCAGCTTCAACCAGGCTTTCCAAGTTCAGAGTCATCATTGTTCATTCAGTAGGCACATATTTGAGTGTCTACTATGAATAGAGCATTATCTTAGACACTACTCTTTAACCATCACACATTTTATTCACAAATGAAGTAGAAAGGGAGTTTGTGTTTCCATAATGTTGCTACAGTTTTCTATGGTATCCATCAACCTCCTGAATAATAGTCACCACTGATTTTTCTCCTTCTGGCTTACACATATGCTCGGGTCTCTTCTATTCAAAGAACTCTTCCTTTGACACTGATATCCTCTTAGCACTTCCCTCTAGTTCCTATACCAACAAAATGTTATCATTTCCCTAGTGCATTTGACACTTGATCATCTTGAAAATTTCCTTTCTCCTGGCTTCTGTGGCACTTTTACTTCTATCTTTCATCTCTCCACTTCCAAATCATTACCAAGTCTCAAGGATGGCTCTAGTATTTATACCTTTTGGAGATCTCAATGCTAGTCCTACTGCTAATAGCCCAATTGGGGGTTCTTTGTATCCTCTACCTCTCTCCAGGTATACTGTTGCTAGATTTATCTTTCTAGACAAAACTACACTCCCTTCAGTCTGCTTCTTCAGATTTCTATCCCATCACTTCCTGACACATCTTTTTCCAGATTAGCTGTACTACTTGATGGCCTCCAGAGTGACCCAATGCTATTCTGCCTGTATGCCTTTGCTCCTGCTATTCCTTCAAGAATAAAAATCCTGTCTCCTTTTCCCACTCCTGTACCTTTATCTCATCAAATCTGTTTGTAGAAATACTACTCATACTTCAAAGCATTGTATATTGGTATAGGGGATTAGAATTCATATAGCAGCTCAATGAAAAGAGTTCAGATACCACCCTTTTAAATCTCAGGTTATTTCAATCAGATGAGATCTCTCTCTTAGCATTTTGTACTTCTTTGTTTTTGTACTAGTTAGTACTTCCTAAGGTCAGGGAGGCACAGAGTAGAATTCATCTTTGTGTAATTTATCTTTGTTTCCCTCATAGTACCTGGAAGGTGTTTAATGAATATGTGTTGAACTGAATTAAGGGACCTCAATTTTCAAAAACACTAAGGATAATAAGATAAATCAATAACTTTTTTGGGGAGGGCAAAGACTAGACCTCTAAAATTGCTCACTTACTGGATGCTTTAAACTACCCATACTAAGATCTAAATTGTTAATAGGGAAAGGGATAAAGTCTTACCACTCTTCTTGAGAAGTTCTCCTTTTCGGGATTTATCCAGGTTTTCAAGAAACTGTTCAAAAACTTTTACATAAGGAGCTAGACTGGTCTTCTTATACTCTAAATTATAAAGACCATGCATTATAATTAGCTAGCATTTTGGCAGCAAGAATAACATGAAAGTATAACTTTAAGTTTCTTGTAAGAATTCTCTAGAACAATGCTCTCCAATAGAAATATGAGAAACGTGTAATTTGAAACACACTAGTAGCCACATTAAAAAGGTGATTTTTTTTTTTTTTTAAAGATTTTACTGGGGAATTGGGGGAGGGGAACAGACAAATTGCTGTCATTTTGTTCTTCAGTCTAGTTGTGGAGGACGTTGCTTCACTGGCCCATGTTGGTATTATCATTGCGCTCTACCTGGTTGAGGCAGATCGGTCGCCGGCCTCTGGACGGCTGCTCATGGTGGCTCATGGCAGCTCACACCGGCTGCCGGCCGCTCACGCTGGCTGCTGGCCACACACGATAGCTTATGGCAGCCCACTGCAGCAGGGGCTGCAGCCTACGCCGGGGACTCATGGCAGCCCAGCTCCAGGTCGAGCTGTTGTTCACCATCTTAGCTGTAGAGGGCAGTGTCACTGGCCCCCATGTGGGAT